AGAATATTTTAAACGAGAAAGCGGTAGTACTATTGCCCTTTATGTTCCTTAAGTGCTGTTAAGGATGTGAGTTTTGTTAATGTAAATAATATTATTTATATATTTATTTTTGTTCCCTAAATCTCTAATAGTCCTACAACGAACACAAAACTTACAATTTGTAAAAATCTAATCCTTTAGCTATAATACTCCGTGCACTGTAAAAAAAAATGAGTGAAATTTCACTCAGATTTCACTCAATACTTTCTCAATTTCTGTCCACACCCGATTGAGTGAAATTTCCACTCTACAGAACTGAGTGAATCTTCAATTCTCAGAGTGAAAAGGACTGAGTGTTTTCGCTCTATCGGGATTGCACGTAACACTCCTTTTTTACTCATTATGGTTCACCTTGAGTAGGATTTTGATCGATTTTGATAATTTATTCACTTTAAAATGAGTGAACTCACTAAGTGTTGAGTTCAAGTACACTTTTTATTGAGTGACTTTTACTCAAATTTGTGTTACACTTAACTTGATTAGTACTTATATCTGAGTATTAATTTCACTCAGTATTGAGAAATATATTCTAAATGATTTTTAAAAAGCTATATGTAAGCTAACTTGTTATTTTATAACAGGTGGGCAGGTGCCTTTCAAAGGTAAGTTTCAGTTTCGAACATGTCCATTTCCTAAAGTTCACTTTTTGGGAGGCATCTGTTCACTTGTAATAAAATAACAAGTTAGCTTACATATAGCTTTTAAAAAATAATTTAGAATATTTCGTTTTTTTAACAAACCAAATGAAAAACTGTAAAACCTTCAAAATATTTTTATTTGTCATTTTATTTGACAAAAACAAATAAAGCCAAAAAATATAACACTATTATTATAATATCAAAAACATTTTAAAAAGTTTTCAGCTCTTTTCGGAAAAAATACAGGAACTTTTTAAGCTAGACGTCTAGAAAAGTTGCATTTAACAATGTCTCCGAATTTCAGTTTGAAAATCATTCTAATTATTAACCTGGGTTATTGTTTTTTTGGTTATTTACGTTTACAAATGTATCTGGCATTCGTATTCGCTTCACCACGTCACGCGGCCACAGTCACATTTTACATCACACTTTACACACACTATGGGCTTGTAACATTGGCACCTTCGAAGGGACAAGACAACCTACGACTCGAACAGATAATTAAAAACTGAGGAACAGGGGAATAGCTTATTCGGTATCGAAGAAGCGCGTATGACGTATGATTAGTAATGAGCGAAAATATTCTAAACTGGGAGATTTCACTCAAATTTTTATTGTGTTAAACTATAACATGAGTTTTTAAGTGAATTTTTTTATTCCATTACTCAAAGATAGGGGTTATAACTCGAACATGAGCTTATTCAATCGCTATTGATTAAATAAAGATCATATTTGAGTAAAATGATGAATTTACTCTATTTTAGATGAAAATGTACTCAATTATTTCACTCAAAAAATTCACTCCCTGAGAAATATGTGTTCACTCAGGCTGATTTTTTACAGTGTGTCGTATATGGTGAACAACCCTGTATAGTGATGCTTTATATATTGTATGGTCTGATTTTTTTATTTTGATTAAAAGAAGCCATGTAAAAGTGGTCATCACGTCACTAATGTTTATTTGGTATGATGTATATAATGGTTATTGTTAACTTAGTATAGAGGGTTCATTTTGGAGGCGATGATTATTAACTTAGCTATACAATAAATTAAGTTTAAAGCAAAACTATTTAATACATAAAAAAAATCTAATAGATTAATATTTTTAAATGCAGAGTATAGTACCGTATGATCGAAATAAAATGGCGTCCAGTTGGCTTAAACATCAACAAAGATGACATTCCTCATATAATTTTATATATAAAATTACAGCAATTTTGATCTTCATTTCATAGCCATCGCTGACGCCGTTTTCTCTCGATCATATGTTATAATAATGCCATCTAATAATTGAATTCTTAATGAGCATTTTGTTAACAGGCTAATGAAATGTGTCATACAATAACGCGATTTAAGAAGATAGCGTACTTAAGTTGATAAAAGGCTTATCTATAATGGTGTGATCGCCCGCGTTTGTTTTACTTCGTATTATAATCCGGCATTTATATTTTTTTTTCTAATGTTGTACAATATAAATAAAACATTACTTTTTGCATATTGTATTTAACCACTTCTCTCCTACGTAATTAACGTTATATTTAATGTAAATCTTTGTAAGTTATTAATTTTCTGTTGTTTTCATAAAATGTCATACATACTATGGAATTTTATTAGGTTATTTTGAAATGCAAAGTAGTTTAAATGTGTTTTATTCTTTAGTGTTTGTGATCTAAATAAATTATTTACTTTTTTCTTTCTACTTTTTGAAATATTAAAAGGAGTTTTATTTATTATGTAGGTACTCGTAATTTGTGATATTCTATAGTTGCATCCCCTATATTTGCCATTTATCTCATTATACATATACCTACATATATCATAGATGTTTTAAAAGGGAACCTAAGCAAGTCAATTTAATATGCCAATTTAAATTTGACACATAAAGTTTACCCTTTATTAAGTTGTCTTAACATAGTAAAACATTGGTTATTTTGATGTTTTACTATTTATTAAATATGATGTTAAAATGGTACTGAAAATACAGGTTAGGTTGAATAACCTTCGGTATTAATCTCATCTACTCCGACGAATTATTATTTACTTCAAAAAATAACCTGAAAGCCATACATACCACTGTGTAGCTCATTTTGGTGGAAATATTTTCTTTTTCCTGGGCTGGCCATTTTAGTATGTTTTATTATAAAAGAAGTTATTTTTATTATTGTTATTATAAATAGACCTATACTCATATATTTTTCAAAAACTTGTAAAAAAATAATAAACTATTTACAAATTTAAAGTGGGCCAAAAATTTTTGCTTAAATTTTGATAACCACTGGATCTTCTCTGGGTTTTCTTTCTTGTAAATTTAATCTACTATACCTCTATTGCCACAGTATCAAGATATTATGTTTTTAACTGAAAATATTTCCATTTTTTTTCCAAATTTTCAAAAAATAAATGTTCGCGAAAAAAACTTCATACTTAATCGTGTTTCGGGGGGTCGAAATATATACTAGCCCTAAAAATATTTTCACTTATTTAAGACCCTATATAATAATTTTTTTTTACCCTATATAATAATTCTGTTTCTGCTATCTAAGGTTCCTCTAAAAATTACTCAGACTCGTAAAAGCTACAAGAGTTCCATCTACCAAAAAAACAAAAAAAATATTACTTACAACCAAATGAAATATATACAGGGTGGTCCGAACTGTATTCCGGAAACTTCGGCAGCATATTCTGCAGATAAAAATAAGTAAAAAAGTTCGTATAAATGTATGTCCTAAAATGCTTAGTTTCGGAGATACGGGGTGTAAAAATTTCATTTTTATTTCGATTTTTCCAAATAATTTCTGAAGTAACGTCTATATTTGGATGAAAATTGGTGTCTGGGGATTTTTTGACATGAGAAATGTGATTTTGATGTCAATATGGCTCTTAATTGTATAGGGCGCCACCTACATGTGTTTTAACTGATTTGAAGGGTAATGCCTTTTCGTCCGTACCTGTATAAAATTACTGAGTAAAAAAATATACATCCCTGTGATTTTCTGCGTAAAAAATGTCTCTTGGTAAAAATCGCTACCAGCAACCGTTCTCAAGATATTTAGAATGACAATAGTCAATACATGTCATTATTGACAAAAAATAAACACGTTTAGTAGATATAGTTACTTGACTGAAATAATAAATTTGAGATTTTTTTTTTAAATCATCCATACATTTTTTTTTCGAAAAAATGATGATAAAACAGTTTTTGTTGAACTTTTGGCACAAAAACATTTCAAATTTATGATTTCAGTCTAATAAATATTTAGTCAATATGTTTAATTTATGTCAGTGATGACAGGTATTGATAATTTCGATTCCAAATATCTCGAGAACCATTACTCGTACCGATATTTACCAAGACACATTTTTTACGTAAAAAACTTCGTAAATGTATATTTTTTTACGCAGTAGTTTTATACAGGTACGGACGAAAATTTATTACTCTTTAAACCAGTTCAAAATTTTTTGGTGGCGCTCTCTACAAGTAGGAGTCATATTGACATCAAAATCAAATTTCTCGCATCAAAAAACTCCCAGGCACCAATTTTCATCCAAATATTGACCTTATTTCATAAATTATTTGGAAAAAATCGAAATAAAAATGAAATTTCTACACCCTGTATTTCCAAAACTAAGCATTTTAGGACATACATTTATACGAACTATTTTACTTATTTTTATCTGCAGAATATGCTGCCGAAGTTTCCGGAATACAATTCGGACCACCCTGTATAGTGATGCTTTAAATATTGTATGGTCTGATTTTTCTTATTTTTATAACTTTATTATGTTTTTAATTAAATTATATTAATGAAGAAATAAACTGAAAGTAAGCTTGAATTAGCACACAAATTATTAATTTTCATTGTTAATTCACGAACAATGAAAATTCATAATTTGTGTGCTAATTCTAGTTTACTTTCATTTTATTTCTTTATTAATAGCAAAAACCTAACAAAGTTATAAAAATAAGAAAAATCAAATTAATACATTTTTATACATAGCATGGAACTTTGTCAATTTGGCCATAAAATAATAATTTTAGGAATAAAAATATGAAATAACTAAAAAACATAATTATTGATCGGTTAAATTTATCGATATAAGAATATTTTAATATCATATTTCAAAACCTAAAAATATTTTTATTACAACAGAATTGAAATTAACGCCGATTTGTATTCATAACTATAACTTCCTCAGGTAATAATAATACTAATTTCTATAGTGTATTTATTTAATTTATTATCATAAATTAATAAGAAGTGAATATCGAATATCGAAGCGTCATACTCTACACGTAACAGGTCGTCTCGTCTGTCTGAAAATTTAGTCTGGTTTAGTAGCGGTTCTAATAGTAATCATCAATTACGTCAAGATCCTTGAGATTGATACTGTTTTTACACAAAAATAAATACTCGTAAAACCCTATTTTATTGTGTATTTTGCTGTGCCGTATGTTTGATTCTAGTTTTAGTCGGTGTGATCTCATTCTAGTTATATACGGATTTACCGGTTCGGTTGTGATATACGTACATATATTAATGTAAGTTGAAATATTTATTTATAACAATGTTTTTAATTTTATATTAGTAAACTACCAGAATATAATTAAAATTTAAGTGTACGTATAGTATTAGTAATGTAAGCGCCAACGTTATTATTTACGCCTATAATTAAGTTAATACATTAAAGATTTTTTACAGGGTTCTGTAATAGTGTGTCAGGCATCTGTAGCTCCTAGAATAAAAAACTTTAGAATAACCTAAAGTACGTACATGAAACACATTCGTTTCAGGAAAATATTTTAACTTCTATAGGGTGAAATTTAAAGGAGGCGTACATTCTTCTCAAAGAGACCTGGTTTAAATTAAAAAGAAGTATAAAAAGACTCAAAATCTCGGTCTCAACATTTGTTAAACAGTGACACGTGTTTCGCTCATACGAGCATCACCAGACAAATACAATTAAAGTTTTGGATTGACTTTAATTGTATTTGTCTGATGATGCTCGTATAAGCGAAACACGTGTCACTGTTTAAGTTAATATAAACGTTGAGACCGAGACTTTGATTCTTTTTATACTTCTTTTTAATTCTATAGGATGGCTCAAAAAGTGTGAGTGGATCGGGATGGTCTTCTTAAAATGAAACACCCTGTATATTATAAAATTTTTGGCTTCCTTTCAGTTCACTTTACATTATCCTAAGATATGAGTAAATATATTTCGATAGTTTCAGAGGTATTAATAAATAAATAAATATATATTTTTGAGCCTTCTTAAAAAAACTATTAAAAATACAAGAACTGTCCTGAAATCAAAACTATATTAGGTATTTACTTTAGATGGTCTGTACTTACTTTGATATAAATAAAGTAATCTTAAATAATACAGGGTGGTCAAAATTCTACGGGAAACTTTCTAAAATTTAAAATAATTTTTCTTTGCATTTTTAAATGAAACATCCTGTATATTATTTTTTCTACAGATGGAGAATTAAAAAATAAACATTTTTTATATTTAAAGTATTTTAAAAATTTTAACGGTTTCACAGATATTCGCAGTATTATTTCATATGGCTCTTTCAACGGCAAAATATGAGAGAAAAATCATTGGGTGGGTTTGATAAAAATTTGCTGTGGAAAATGCCATATGAAACATAAACCTCGATTATCTGCGAAACAGCTGAAAATTTTGAAATACTCTAATTACAAAAAAATGTTCATTTTTTAATTCGCCATTTGTTGAAATTTGATGAATTATATACAGGGTGTTCCATTTAAAAAAAAACAAAGAAATATTATTTTATATTTTAGAAAGTCCGACGTAGAATTTTGAACATTCTGTATGTACGATTACCATATTTATAGCGAAGTAAGTACTTAGCATCTGAAGTAAATAACTAGTACAGTTTTGATTTCAGGACTACCCTTGTATTTTTAGTAATTTGAAACTATCGAAATATATTTACTCATATCTTAGGTGTAAAGTGATCTAAAAGGAAGCCCAAAATTCAATAATATACAGGGTGATCAATTAAAAAAAAGCATCCCGATCCGCTCACACTTTTTTGAGCCACGCCTTATAGAAATTAAAATATTTTCTTGAAATACATCCTAGTACATGCTTTAGGTTTGTACATACTTAAACCAAACTCCCAAGTTTTTTTTCTAGGGGCTACAGATGCCCGACGCACAATTACCGGACCCTGTATACTTATTGATATATCAAACTGGTTAATTTAAATTTATTTTACAGTCACTTAATTTAATATGAAAAATGAAAACTTTCTCATAAACGAGAAAAATAAAAATTCTGTTAAAAAATGATTAGATTTTTAAAATGATTTCAAAAAGAACAGATACATATAGAGGGTGGTCCGAGTTGTTTTCGGGAAATTCGCCAGCATATTCTGTAGATAAAAATAAGTAAAAACGTTCGTATAAATTTATACCCTAAAAAGGCAAACCAAACCTCTACAGACACCAATTTTCATCCAAATATCTGCTCTAGTTCAGAAATTATTTAAAAAAAAACGAAAATGAAACTTCTATTTTCATCTGCAGAATATGCTGCCGAAGTTTCCCGAATGCAATTGATCACCCTGTATCCTGTATAATAATATTCTGACTTTGATACTATTGATAAAACACCAGCTCATTTTCCCCAAAATGTTCGAAAGTAGCTCCATAATAAAAATGTCGTCCGATAATGAACCACACTAATTCATCACTATGTATACAGGGTGATTCACGGTCTATGGAAATTTAGTCCTTTATTGTTGGTCCTTATCAGTTGGTAGCGAAAGTTTTTGTTTCATCTTAATTATAATCGGTTGTAAGGTCAAATGTTACTATAGAAATGTAACACTAAAAAATAAGTAATATAATTAGTACATGTGTCGGGTAAATGACAGTTAATTTGTTTTCTTTGTAAGTAAATAATGCCTAATTATTGATCGGTAATTAGTGGAATTTTAGTAAATACACACTTGTTAATTAATTAATTATTTCGTTTTTAATTGTGCTAAAAATGCTAAAATAACTTTTCTAGTACTTTAAAGTTGTTAGTTAATACTAAAAAAATTGCAATATATTCTTTAGTCGACGCGCGACTTTTCAAAATATCACTTAAAATTTTAAAAAAAATGTGTAAGAAACAGAACACCACTTCAAACTAAAATGCCTGATCGACTTAGACATAATAACGTATAGTATATAATATATAAATAGCATTGTTAATTTCACAACGCCAAAAATATATTAACCTATCAATAATTTAGGATTTTTAAGGAAAATTGACATTATATTGATAATAATGATTCTTTAATGCTGGATTTTCGCATTTTATCCTTAAAATTATTTACTTCTATCTTTCTTACCTTTCGGCCTATCTTTTGTCATCTTTTCTTTCACGATCATTATTTTTTTTTCGTACATACTTTTTCCATTACAGACTAAAATATTTTCCTTTAAAACGACTACCAAGATGCCATATCGAAGTCTGTAAACGTAGAGTTCTATTCATCCATAAAATGAATTGATTAGCTTCTTTTCAAGAACTTAATGCATCACCCTCTACCTCCATTATGTTTAGGACAGTACCTTAATATAGGAGCATGTTTATGATAATTTTGTTAACATAACAAAAATTGTTATGTTTAAAAAATATCACGTTTATTAAAGGCTGAGCAAATATTTAATTAAATATTTTAATTATATTCTCGGGAGTTCATTAATCATAACACAGCCATGGCACTCTGGATTGAAATTTAAAATAGAATTTGATTTGAGTGACTATGTCAAATATTGACATATGATATGTCATTCGATTCAAAGTGTCATTTTCTATCGAATAAAGTAAAAAAATACCGAGGGTGTGATTTAAAACTCCAAAGTTGTAGTAATTTCCGGTGAAACCGGAATTGACTGAAAACAATTGAATACGTCAATCAATCCCAATTTACGTCATATACTAACTTACCAAATATGGTTGTTTTATCTGAAAAAATAAAAATGTTATAGGGGTGAGCCACTTTTGAGATGCACCCGGTATAGTGATGCTTTAAATATTGTATGGTCCGATTTTTTTATTTTTTTAACTTTATTATGTTTTTGCTGTTAATGAAGGAATAAAGTGAAAGTAAGCTAGAATTAGCATACAAATTTTTATTGTTAATTCACGAACAATAAAAATTCATAATTTGTGTGCTAATTCTAGTTTACTTTCATTTTATTTCTTCATTAATAGCAAAAACATAACAAAGTTATAAAAATAAGAAAAATCAGATTAATACTTTTTATACACAGCATGGAACTTTGTCAATTTGGCCTATTATTTTAGGAATTAAAATAGAAAATAACTGCAAAACATTATTATTGATCGGTTAAATTTATAGATATCAGAATATTTTAATATCATATTTCAAAACCTAAAAATATTTTTATTGCAACAGAATTGAAATTACCGCCCGATTAGTATTCATAACTATAACTTCCTCAGGTAATAATAATAATAATTTCTACAGTGTATTTATTTAATTTATTATCATAAATTAATAAGAAGTGAATATCGAATATCGAAGCGTCATACTCCACACGTAACAGGTCGTCGCGTCTGTCTGAAAATTTAGTCTGGTTTAGTAGCCTAAATAATGCCTAATTATTGATCGGTAATTAGTGGGATTTTAGTAAATACACATTTGTTAATTAATTAATTATTTCGTTTATAATTGTGCTAAAAATGCTAAAATAACTTTTCTAGTACTTTAAAGTTGTAAGTTAATACTAAAAAAATTGCAATATATTCTTTAGTCGACGCGCGACGTTTCAAAATATCACTTAAAATTTAAAAAAATGTGTAAGAAACAGAACATCACTTCAAACTAAAATGCCTGATCGACTTACACATAATAATGTATAGTATATAATATATAAATAGCATTGTTAATTTCACAACGCCAAAAATATATTAACCTATCAATAATTTAGGATTTTAAAGGAAAATTGACATTATATTGATAATAATGATTCTTTAATGCTGGATTTTCGCATTTTATCCTTAAAATTATTTACTTCTATCTTTCTTACCTTTCGGCCTATCTTTTATCATCTTTTCTTTCACGATCATTATTTCTTTTTGTACATACTTTTTCCATTACAAACTAAAATATTTTCCTTTAAAACGACTACCAAGATGCCATATCGAAGTCTGTAAACGTAGAGTTCTATTCATCCATAAAATGAATTGATTAGCTTCTTTTCAAGAACTTAATGCATCACCCTCTACATCCATTATGTTTAGGACAGTACCTTAATATAGGAGCATGTTTATGAATATTTTTGTTATGTTTAAAAAATATCACGTTTATTAAAGGCTGAGAAAATATTTAATTAAATAATATTTTAATTATATTCTCGGGAGTTCATTAATCATAAAATATGTTTTAGTGGTAGTAGTAGTAAAACATTTTCTAAAGAATTAAATATTTCTTATGTTTATTTTTGGATTCACAAATCTATTTTTTTAAATGTGCTTAAAAAATTGTGTCAAAAATTTTTATTTTTGTAGTTAAATATTAATTTTTAAAAGTTGTATGTTAATTTATAATAAATAACATATAGGATCAAGAATTAATAAATCGAAATTAACAATTACATTCGAATAGATAAATCCAAAACTGTGAAATACAAAAAATAACCCTTATTAACTTATATTTTTTTACAAGTTTTCCCTTTATTTAATGATACAATAAAGGTCTTACTATTATTAACTCCGAAATAAAAATACGATCTTTTGGTTTTTCTTTTTATTTGGGAAATGCTTGATTTCCCCAATTCTTCTGAATATCCGTATAATTCGTTACCATCATTTTCTCTGCAGGGCATTATTTTATCCGCCTGATATCTTATTCGGAACCTGTAAAAAACAGATAAAAAAGCAGGCGAATCTGCCGCAAAAAGGGAAACCATCAATAACTTTCTTTGTTAGCAGCAAGCCTTCAAGAAATTGAAAATAGATCTTTTTTCGATATAAAAGAATTTATCAGTTTGATTCGACACCGGCGTAGATTTTTTGTGTCTAATTGGGTATTATTAATTTATTATTAATTGCCAGGTTTTGTCTACTTTTTTTACTTATAAAGCAGTTTGCAGGCATGATTTATAAATACAATGTCCTGCAACAGTGCGTCGGGCATTTGTAGCTCCTATAATAAAAATATTTTCTTTCTTCAAACCAAAATCCGTGTGTTTGTAGAAGGGGGCCTTTTTTATGATTCTAAATAATTTTTAAGCTGTTAAAGTTGAAATTAAGCGTGGAAGTTACTTCGAAAATTTTGGAATTTGGTTGCTACATTATACCGGGTGCGTCTCAAAAATGGCTATATAGTTTTTTTATTTTTTAAGTTAAAAAAAATGAGATTTGGTATGTTAGTATATGGCATAAATTAGGATTGATTGACGTATTCAATTGTTTTCGGTCACTTCCTGTTTCACCGGAAATGACTACAACTTTTGATTTTTAAATTACACCCCCGGAATTTTTTTACTTTATTCTGTAGAAATGTCACTCTGAATAGAATGACATATCATATGTCAACTTTTGACATTTTCGCATATGGTTTATTTGAAATTATAACTTGCGGTTCGTAACGAAAATTTGACTCGAAAAAAAAACTAAGTGTGTGGTATCAAATTATTCGTAAAAAATGCTTTTTCCAAATATGCTAATGAGCCTAGTTATAACCTAACCTAACCTAACCCTTGTTCCATTTGAAAAAATTGAGATATGATTAAAAATACGATTTGAGCATTTTCTAACTGGCCAGGACAAGACACTAAAAACATTAGATGATTAAATCTATTTTTCCAAGACTCCTTGATGAAGAATTAGTGTTTTAAACATAACCATGGCACTCTAGATTGAATTTTAAAATACACTTTTTTATTAAGCGAGAATGTCAAAAGTTGACATATGATATGTCATTCTATTTAGAATGTCATTTTCTATCGAATAAAGTAAAAAAAAACCGAGGGTGCCATTTAAAAATCAGAAGTTGTAGTCATTTCCGGTGAAACAGGAAGTGGCCAAGAACAATTGAATTCACGGCACCTTCTTCTTAAGGTGTCGTGCAGATTCCTGCGTAGGCGTTCATCTTTTTCTTCCTCAGCAGATGGTTCTGTTAACTGCAGCGACTTGGAGTGCTTGGAAGTCCTGTATGCCTGTCCAATGACGAATATTTCAGCCAGGATAGCTTCCTTCGACCTATTCCCCTTTTGCCCCCCTCTATTTTACCCTGGAGAATCAGACGTTGAAAGTGATAGCGCTCTCCACGTAGTATGTGTCCCAAATAGGCTATTTTCCTCTTCTTGATGATTTCGAAGAGTTCACGTTCTTCTAGACCAGCTCTTCTGAGAATGTCTTCATTCCTCATACGGTCGACCCAGGGCACTCTTAGCATTTCTCGTAGGGTCCACATTTCGAAGGTTTCAATTCGGTTTATTGTTGCTACCTTCAGTGTCCATGCTTCCACACCCTATAACAAAACGGACCAGACATAGCACTTCACCATTCTGTATCTAAGGCCGAAGTTCAAATTCCTATCTGTGAGAAATCTTCGTAGTCTCAGAAAAGTAGATCTTGCTTGTTCGATCCTGCATTTGATCTCCTGATCTGGATCTCACGTTTCGTTAACCATGCATCCCAAATATTTAAATTCTGTGACCTGCTTGATGACCTCTCCATTTAAGTAAATTCGAACGAGATCACGTAACTGAATACACCAATCAATCCTAATTTATGTCATATACTAACATATCAAATTTCGTTTTTTTTTATTTGAATATTCCGAGATATTTGCGTTTTTCGATTTTGGCAAAATTTCAACTTTAAATTGTTTTCTACGAGTCCTTATGAACATCTAAGAAACGAAAAATAAGCCATAGGAGGGCGCCAACAGTCGTCTATCCGATGGTGTATAAATGGTTTTTTAGTATTGAAGGGTTGGGTCGATACTTTAAAAAAGTCGAAAACGGAAAATTTCCAAAAATTTTCCCTGCCAAAATTGAGCTTCTTCACAGTTCATCACAGTTTAAATGGAGCGAATATAGAGCTCCACTAGCTCTATCCGTAGAGGCTACACTGGTCGTTTAGCTACTTACCGTTTCATACCGAAACATCTTATTCTTATTTACACCTTTATTTATTTTTTATTGTAATAATTTAATGTAGCGACCAAATGCCAAAATTTTCGAAATGACTTCCACGCTTAATTTGAAAGGAAAGGAATTCCCCTAAAAAAATCACGTGATTTAATATCTCTACCGGACTATAATGCATGTACTATATATTTCAACGAGACAATTTTAACTTTTACAGGGTGGCTCAAAAAAGTGTACAAGGGTCGGGATATTTTTTTTAAATAAAATATTAAAGAAAAAGAAAAAAAAACAAAACAAAAATATTTTATTATAATATATAATAAATAATAATATATTATGCATCCGAACATACTATTATATATTCACCTACTGGCTATTTCATATTTCCTCCTCAATGATTATAATTTTTAGGTTCGTTATTGTATAAATTAACGAATAGCGAAAATATTATTTATCAGTAGATATATCAGAATTAAATTATGTACCTAATTCGAAAAAAATATAAAAAAAGTTCAGCACAAAACTTCAAATTGATATTTTCAGTTACAATTGGACGTGGATATATTTTATATTATTACAGCTGTTTAAATTTCGGATATAAAAAGGTCTCTGTTTTGTTTCCATTATACACGTTTAAAAGCTTTTTAAATGGAAAAATAAAAAATATATATTATTGTATATTGTATTTACAATGGACAAAATAACATATTTTTTTTTTGTTTCAGAAACTATGGAAAAAGAGCATCACTATGCATATATGTCCTGGGTGTATTTGGGAATATTGGTTACAATATTCAATTATTACTCCGCCACAGCGCGCAAAATTGTTTACAGAATCTCAAACCTATCAAAATCAGTTGTTTCGAAATTGTTCCTTAACAAATTTCAAGAAGAAGGTAAGCCTAATTTATAGAATAATAATAAATAAAGGTCAAAGGTATATGAATGGATATTAAATTCCTATAGTTATTAAAATTATGAAGCCATTCACTGATTTCTAATCACGGACTAGATGGGATTAACTAGGTTTTATATTTAAGTAATAAAGTTAAATATTTTGGTAGAATCTTGAATGAGCGGGAGGGAGGTTAATCACCGCGAACCTTCTAAAAATCTATCGTGTTTCCCTTTCTTGAGCTATAACTCATCATACAGTAACTCTCTATTTTTTGCTTGAGAGAGGTTGAGACCAGTATAGGCTAGCCTTCTATCTATCCACGCATCCCCTCGACTTCGTCACGTAGTATTATTTAGGTTTTTAGTGAGGTTGTCTACTCTTGGTCCGGGAAATTAATCTATCCCCCCCCCCCACACCCTCTGCCCGTGATATATGACCACACATTATAGAGTGCCTGGTATGACGGACAGGGTAGTCCCATGCGGCATCGTTATATGTTTTGGTGCAATTCCTTAGACCAAAATCCTTAGATCAAAGTGCCAGAGAGGATTTGGACCATTTTATCGCCTTTTTTAATTTAAGTTGTGAATTGAAAACAGACAACTGCGATTTATCAGTTAAACCTCAGTACCGGCTCATATTCCTTTCCAAGACTTGCATGTATCTAAGTTGATTATTTTTTTTTCACTATGAGTAATTCACCCATTCACTACCTCAACCAATTCTAAAATTCAAATTTTAGGGTTTTGTAAAAATATAAAATATATTTTTGTTTCTGACTTATACAAATAGGATTCATCCTATGTGTATTGATCAAATAGGAACTTATTGAAATAGGAGGTTATTGACATGAAGAAGTTTATTTATAAACTTAAGCTGACTTAATTTTTTCTCATCATAATAATGCTTGCTTCGGCAATTTTTACACCAAAACAGAAATCATCTCATTTTCCCCATTAATCCTCAACAAAAATGATAATTTAAAATTCGCTTAAATTACTAATTACATCCCTTTACGCTTTTTTTCAAACACCCTAGTCACTTGTTTCAAGTCCATTATTTTTCAGTGTCCACTGACAAAAATAAAAATATCTGATTACAGTTGAGGGTTGGAACCTATATATGGTCTTATAACTTTACAGTTTTAATAATTTGCCGTTTTTTTGTTTGTGTTGTTTTGATGTATTTGGTGGTAAATTAGTGTTTTATTTTGTTAAAAATATCTGCCCGTCTTGTCGAGATGTTAAGCTACAATTATTTATTTATTTATTCTCTCTACGATGTATACAATTATCTGATTATCATTGGTAAACGTAAATATAAATAATTAACAGACCTATTGTAAGTACTACTTAGAATTCTTTAATTATGTAATATAATACTACTTACATGTTTTCTCACTTAATACTTGAATTTGCTATTAGATAGAATATAAAAAATCAACATTATCGCTAGCTACAAGCAATTTTATTTAAACGAATAATTATACTTTTTTGTGGTTTAATGATGAGATCCAACTATCAATAAACATAGTAGTGTTTTATATAATAGTTTGGTGGTATTTATGACAAAAATTTGCAAAAAATATTCAATAAATTTATAAAAAATTAATTGTGTGTTCTAAAATTCGGTCGTCTAACAAATTATTAACAACCATTTATTTTAATAATATACACTGACGGGCATGAAAAACGGACACCTTAAAATTTTCATAAAATTTCAAGTTCAATATACACTGAAATACACCAATTTTTTTCAAATGGGAAGGGGGTCAAGTGGTACCGCATTGAAAAGGGCTTTCTATTCTCTATACTTTCCCGCTTCGTTTTTGAAAATCGGTCGAGCCATTGAGATAATACGAAGGATTGAAATTTGAAAAGTTTATTTAAACATTTATCAGAGTAAATAATGATAAGGATAAATTCCTTCGACCAATTTGCTGTCTTTTTCTTATTATTTCTAGATGTTTACGCATTTTTTCACTTGCCATAAGGATGAACGATCGGGTTAGGGAAAGTGTACTTTCTTTTTGAAAGGTGTAGTTAATCGGCACAATTGTCGGTACGGGGCTGAGGACAACCCCAGGGTTTTTCACGAGATGCACACACAAAACCCTAAGAAATTGAACGTGTGGGCTGGTATTTTTAGAAATTCTATTGTGAGTCCTTTTTTTCTTCCTAGAAATCTAACAGGTGATATGTACTTGGATTTACAGGAAAATACCATCGACCCAGCCCTAACTGACATCATAGAGAATAATCCTGGATACGCTGAAGCGGAACTAATATTTCAGCAAGACGGTGCACCTCCACATTACTCTCAAAATGTGCGTAATTATTTAAACAATAACTTTCCCATTCGGTGGATAGAACGAAGGGCTGCATTTGAGTAGCCTCCCCGGTCACCCGACTTGACTCCTTTAAACTTTTTTCTATGGGGACACATAAAAAGTGAAGTGTACAGCACTCCACCCGCCTCATTAGAAGACCTGCGAAGACGAAATATTGATGTTTGTTGCGAAGTGACCCCGCAAGTTCTTCAGAATGTTCTAGAACGGGTTGAAAATAATTTGTATTACTGTATGGAGGTTGACGGGCAATATTTTCAGCATTTTCTTCATTAATAAGATAAGTTTTATTTTAATTAATTCAATTTATGCGTTTTTTGCAAAAAAAGTACTTTTCAAATTTCAGTCTTTCATATTTTCAAAATGACTCGACCGATTATTAAAAACGAAGCGGGGAAATATAGAGAATAGAAAGGCCCTTTTCATTGCGACGCCACTTGACCCCCCTTTCCATTTGAAAAAAGTTGGGGGATGACACCTCCGCTTAGAGGGTTGAAGATTTTGCAATAATTTTTGGGGCAAAAGTTGCCCCCCTTGGATTTTTCGAAAAAAAATACCCTGGCTGTTATGCCTTGCGGAACGTTTTCGATGGGCTATCCTGTATCTTGAGCGGCTATAGAACCCTCTTGCAGGCAAACTTAGTATTAAGCAAAAATTGCTTAATACTAAGTTTATATACTTCAATGTAATTAAGATTTCAATATAATTAATTTTAATGAGATTAGGTATTTAGTAGTTTTAATACATCCACGTATAATGTAAAATATAATGTTGCATAAGCTGTCAAAGCCATTCACGAAGTGCCCGCATTGTTTCGGCCTATTGCATTTACCATAATTTGCCTAACTTTAGGTGTAGAGGTTTCATGGAACCTTTTAAATTTTTCCTATACTTTAATACTTATTGTGCTATTCGGGATGGAGACAAATCCAATAAATCATAGACTACTAAAATCGGTGCCGCCGCGCCGTCTATAAGTTATAAATTATGTAACTAATCCGACTTTGTTGTCCTATTTAGTTTATCTTGAATTCTAATTTTGTTTAAGATTATTAGTCACCTGCAAGTTTTCTTTTTATTGTCGTAAGATCAGCAATATCCATGCTCTTTAGTACAATACGCATAAAATCACATATCCGTAAATAAAGAATTTCATTGATTGATTTATTATCTATTTTTAGATATTTTTATTTTGTATTTTCTAGTATCTGTTAAAGGAAATTTTCGTACACTTACGGTTCTAGAAACATTAGCAACATTATATTTTCTAGATATTAATCGCGTAATTACATAGTTAGGCTAAAAATATAATAAGAAGGAACGAAAATAACCAGAATGCCATTAATATATATTTTTTTATCTTCAAAGAGTACGCTCGGCTTAAGCCGGTCCCACACGATGGTTTCCTTTTTTTTCCTTGGTTATTCGTCGCGTCCCCACTCTCTGTCGGTAAATATAGCCCGAGTCAAAGGATCATAATAATTATTCGTATACTTGCTAAGTGTACTTGGCCAGCCTTGTCTATACTTGCCGAGGCGCAAAAAAATGACTGCGCAAATAATTGTACTGTTATAGAGTATGTCCAGTTTATTTCCGGATCGTATTAGTGTTTTTCGGGTTAATTGCGGATACCTAATTTAAAACATTAAAATAATAATAAATTATATAATATCAAATTTACATTAATAACTTCAATATTGGCGACATACCTAAATTGTTCTCACAGCAATAAATCTAGTGGACAAATGAAGACTACACGGGAAAAACCAGATATGTCACATTTTTATAGAAATTAAGATAGCGATACAACTTTATAGACAAATGTTAACGTCATTCGAGAAAAAAAACAATAATACGCTTAGTCCCAGAGATATTACAGCGTGGTTATTTTGCCGTACAAAAGAAAAACCAGAGTAGTCCACACGTAAATGGCAAAAACCAGAGATGTACTTAGCATGGGCGACAAGCATGCATTTTGCAATTAGTATTATATGTTATAAATTTATCTATTGGAATAAAAACCTACTTAAATATTAATTTTCTTCCTACAACAAAAAAATAATAGTTTAGATTTAAGTTTTATACCAACCTTTAATTGGACATCCCTGGCTTTCCCCTGTTTTGTTATGCATTTTGACATTTTTATTCCGGTATTTCAGAATATGGCGATAATTCACAATATTAATAATGCAGAATTGGTAGTAATATATATTTTTCTAATTATTCAACCGAAAATAACATATTTCTTTAAAAACACTAAATTGAATTTTTCTCCGCTCCAATTAAAATGGACAAATCTGGGGTTTTCCGTGTAGTCTTCAAATGACGTTGTTTTGGAATTTATGGATTTATACGAAGATGAGCCCTTCATATGGATGGACAGCAATGTTTGTGCTGGCGTACTTGTTTAAATGAACAAGTCGGCGTCGTGTGAGCGCCACACTTGCCGATGTTGTTTACAAAGTGGGGACTGGTAGGGATACTTGCCAAGTACGCAAATATTGGCGTACTTGCCCAGTAGACGAGTCGTGAGAGTGTGCCTAAAAAAGAGACACTTGGCAGTTAAGAGACAATATTATCAAAAACTGTACCAAATGTTGGTTCCAACGTTGGACGCATCGTGTAGGACCGGCTTTAACCCAATAAGCCAA